GAGAAACCCTATGTGTGCAAGCAATGTGGGAAAACTTTCACTAAACTGAGTAATTGTAAAACACATGAAAGGACTCACACTGGGGAGAAACCCTATGTATGTAAGGAATGTGGAAAAGCTTTCACTACACACAGTTATTGGCAAAGACATGAAAGGGCCCACACTGGGGAGAAACCCTATGTATGTAAGCAATGTGGAAAAGCTTTCACTACACACAGTTATTGGCAAATACATGAAAGGGCCCACACTGGGGAGAAACCCTATGTATGTAAGCAATGTGGAAAAGCTTTCATTACACGCAGTTATTGGCAAATACATGAAAGGGCCCACACAGGGGAGAAACCCTATGTATGCAAGCAATGTGGGAAAGCTTTCAAGAGACAGAGTCATTGTAAAATACATGAAAGGATTCACACTGGAGAGAAGCCCTATGCATGTAACCAGTGTGGGAAAGCTTTCAGGACACAAGGTCATTGTAAAATGCATAAAAGGACTCACACTGGGGAGAAACCCTATGTATGTAAGCAATGTGGGAAAGCTTTCATCAGGCAGAGTCAGTGTAAAATACATGAAAGGACTCACACTGGGGAGAAACCCTATGTATGTAAGCAATGTGGGAAAGCTTTCAGCACACACAGGAATTGTGAAGGGCATGAAAGGAATCACAGTGTAGAAACAGTGTGTATGTAAACAATATAGAAAAGGCTTTCAGTTACTCTAGTAGTCATCAAAGACATATAAAAAGAGGTGAAATTCACTTTGAATATATGAAGTGACTTGCACTGATATCAAAGGACAGTGCAGAGAAACCCTTTCTTTGTATGCAGAAAAAAGCTTTCAGTACACAGGTATTACTATATATCTGAAAGAATTCATAGAAAAGGAATCTGAGCACATAAGAACAATGTTGGCAATGTTTTATTTTTCTCTGCATTCAAAGTCATGATATAGTCACATGAGAGGGGAATCGTATATATGCAATAAATATGTGAATCCTTCCATTTTTCCTATTACCCAGAAAATTATGAGAGAACTAACAGTGAAAAGAAAGCCTATGTAAATAATGTATGAAAAGATTATTTTCATAACATCAGAAAACATGCAGAAACTCAAAATGAGATTTACTATAAATACCAAAAGTGAAAAAGCTGAGAATCAGAGTGACATAGACAGAGAAGCATGTTAAGAATGAGATACACTGTTTCAAAGCACACTTGTGGAGACAATATTCTTCCAATATATCTGTGGATTAATGCACAGATGAGGTAGGAAAGTGCATAATGTCAGATTCAAAAAATCACTACCTTGCATGTGAGTTTTTAGCACATCACCTTTAAGGGACATTTTAGGTGCAAACCATCACCCTAGTTGTATGGGTAAAGTACAGTTTATTTGTGCAATGAAATTTTATTGGGTTTTGAAATACTTCTTTTGTGACAAAGTAGATTAACCAAGGTCATTACATGAAGTCTGCCACACATAGACCAATGAAAGCTTGATTATATTTGTTGTTAGCATATAAAATTTACAACTTCAAAGAAGCAGGGAATTGGGTGGGAAAGTCGAGAGATGTTAATGAGAATGAGAAACTACAGTGTTTCTTTGTAAAGTACAAAATGGCATGGGCCCCATAGTGACTACGGTTATGGATGCAGTGCCACATAGCATTACAATTTGCTAAAAGTTGTTTTTATTGTTTCCTCCATGTATGCTACCAGGAAGAATGTGATATTTTCACAATATAAATAGTAACAAATTGTACCGAATGCTTTCTATGTATGATTTTCTTTTCTTGTTTAATAAAATGAATACAATAAAATTTAGTCAAAATAGCATGACTATAGTTTCACAATATGTCCACAGAATCTCTCTTTTCTTCTATTTTTACAAAAGTAATTTAGTTAATATTGTGTTTCTAAAGTATTCAGTATTAGTTGGCCCCAAGTTTGTAGCATATAATTAAACAAAGTATTCAGTATTTTAATGAA